TGGCAGATACACCGCCGGTGGTACCACCACTGGAAGAGTCTGTAATGGTTTTAAATTTTCTGGGCACACTCCCAGTCCCAGCTGACAATGTCAGACTTTGGACATAGAAAGATCCCATCCTGGCAAAACTGAAACAGCTGGTGGTGATGGGGAAACCGAGGAGCCATCACAAGCACAACTGAAACCTTTTTGGACCCGAAGAGACCAGATCACAGGAGAGAATGGCATATTATTATGGGAAGCAAGAGTGATTGTCCCACGCAAAGATGGCCACCAGATACCGGCTGGACCGGTTTCCAAAACGAAGATGTTGGTGAGTAGTTATATCCGGCGGCCAGGATTGGATGCAGACATAGCTACATTGATGGGGCAGTGCCCCCAGTGCCAACAAGGACAAAAATTACTACCAGATCTCCCACATTTGTGGAAATGGCCAGGTAAACACTGGACTCATTTACATGTTCACTATGCAGGTCCTTTCATAGGCTCAAGGTTCTTAGTCATCTTACTCAAAATGGCCGGACATGCATAGAGTTCATTCACCAAACACAGGAACGATGATAGAAAAACTGCATTCTTCTTTTGCAACATATGGACTTTTGGAAGTGCTGGTCACAGAAATCAGGCCAACATTTATCAGCAGGGAATTTGAGTATTTCCTAAAGTCGAATCGTATTCGACATATGAGCTCCATACCGTCCATCATCCAATGGTCTGGCAGAAAGGGCAGTCCAAACTTTGAAGGCAGGCTTAAAGAAACAGCCTACAGCTTCATTAGACACCAAACTGTTTCCCTTACTATTTGATTATCCCTCACACAACTACAGGGTTAGTTCCAGTAGAGTTGTTATTGGGGAGAAGACTTTGCAACAAGTTCAATCTAATCTTCTGAGACCCGGGGTGGGGGATGGTAAAATGGTATCAGGAACACCCATCATGTATATAGTTTAGGGAGGTACGCTGCTCCTGCACAAGTGGGCCTTACGAAAGCTGGAAACTTGCAGTGGTGTGGGAGCAAACTGTGCATGGTTACTCGACAGACTTTCCAACTGTTCCAGAACCCATGGATTCTCCTTCTCTGTCAAGTGTTGAAGATAGCTTGCAATCTGAGATGGACACAGTGGATGTCGCCACCTCAATGCCTGTACTGCATGAAGAGGAGAATGAATTTCTTCCGAGATGCTTCAGGTGCAAGAGATAAGCTACTGTGTGTTACAGGTCGCCTGTATCAGAGGCAGAGCTGGAGGAACCTGACCCGATGCTAAAATACCCCAGGAGGAGCTACAAAAAAAACGAACTCCTCAGACTCAGTGAGGGAGGTACGTAGTGACTGTAATGAGGTCAGCCAGATGGACCTCATAGAATACGAGTTCCCTGATTGGGGCTGTTAACCTGATCCAATGAGGGAGCCCTGGCTGAGAGATATGAACAGGAGTGTCAGACATCCTGTCACTCTGAGAGCAGGCTCTGAGGGGGAGCTGGATCAGTATCAAGGGCTGTCCACGTGTAAATAAAGGGTGACTAGGTAACAGGATACCGGGCCTTCGTGAAGTTATTTCACTATCGCATTCGTGCAACATGGTTTGCCTTGCATTCATTGGAACAAGGCCCACTTTGTCGAAGGTCTAAGCACAGGCATTCCAAAGCCTCCCTTGTTAACAAGACTCATCCTGTCTTGCTGTACGGAGGACTGAGCTAAACCATCGTTTGGGGGAATTGTGAATGCCAACTACTCACATGACTAAGGAACTGCTTTTCTTCGAACGTTCCCCACGTTGGTTCATAGAAAGCTTGACCAATGGATCCAGCCAGCACTGGGGTTATTTTTACTGCTGCCACAATGCAACAAAGCTAAAGAGAAACTGAGGGGAAATTCATTCCCAAGCGAGACCAGGATCTTTAGCCTGTTAACTCAGTTCCTCTCCACAGGTGTGAGTTTGCCAATTTTTTTTTTGTTCTTATTTCAGACTTCCAGCATCAGCAATATTTTGCTTTCTGAATACAGCAAGACTTATCTACATGGGGTGGCCCAGTGGTTCAGTGGTTAGCACTGCTACCTCACAGCATCAGAAGCCCGGGTTCGATTCCACCCTTAGGCAACTGTCTAAGTGCAGTTTGCACATTCCCCCCATGTCTGAATGGGTTTCCTCCGGGTGCTCCGGTTTCCTTCCACAGTCCAAGGATATGTAGCTTAGGTAGGTCGTCCATTATAAATTGCTCGTAGTGTCCAGAGATGTGTAGGCTAAGTGGATTAGCCATGGGGAATGCAGAGTTACAGGGTTAAGGTAAGTATGGATGGGATGCTCTTCGGAGGGTCAGTGGAACTCGATGGGATGAATAGCCTGTTTCCACACTGTGGGCATTCTATGATTTCTACAATCTCCCAGCCGGCTCTTGTACACACCTTCAGCACACGAGAATTTTGGGGCAAGACAGTTTGACTTTAGTTGGCTGATGGAACATCTCCTCAAGTCAGCTAGCTAAAAGGATTATTTGCAAACAAGGCTTGGACAAGAACAATCAGCATTGTTAAAGTGCCAAGAGGAAAGGATTATCAGAGCTTAAAATGGCTTGTGTGTTCTTTTTGCGGCATGCAAATATTTGCAAAGAAACCAGAGGCAAGAGAGAGGAGCTAGTCATACCGGAAATACATTGCCTCCTCTTACTCTGTAACATTGTATACTCTGTGATCTACGATAGTGAGCCTGCCTCGCATTCAGACACAAAATAACTCAAACTTCAAGACAAGGTCAAAAGGCTGACAGAGATAGTAAAAATGAATGAATGTGATGCATGCAGATTGAAGCATGTTGTGAGGGGTCTACACTAGACTACACTGTCTAGCTAGTACACACAGCATACAACAGAAGATACCTCCTGCTATTATAACATTGGAAAAGGGTAGGTGGAAAAACGTTTGTCTCCAATCCAGAATGACACCAGTTCCTTTGGTTTCTGTAACAGGTCGACATTTTGCAATCCTCGTTGTAAAATCCATCCAGTATCATTGCTGATTTTCTACTACACACCACCTGTCTTGAAACTAAATATTTACTGTCAGCAAGTGAGTTACATACAAAAATGTAGGTGTAAAAGTCAGATCATTTATTTCAGCATTAGGCGCCATGAAAATTAAGTGTGCCCACCCATAAATATTTTGATATTAATGAGATAACTCAAGTCTGTATTGCTTCATTCATGTACCTGCTGAATCAATTCAGTTGTGTTGATCAAACTGAATTCTTAATGATCTCATCTTCATCAAAAGGTCGATATTTCTGTCCCTGCACTTTCTTATTCGGCTAACATTTACACCCTGTCTAAATCCACCCCCACCCCTGCCCCATTCACTTGGATATTATCAAAAATAGTCACCTCACTAGTGATAATTTCCTAACCAACTACAGCTCTTGTTGATGGTAAGTATCGAGGCAGGAGTTTAGTTGGGAGGGACATTGGGATGTACCTGAACTTTACTGCTTTCTTGCCCATGTCGACGTTCCCATCCTGGTACCAGTTAAGGGAGAGCCAAGGGCCTCATCTTATTGTCCTTGGTGTAAACTGAGCTGGAGCTGACCCTGTTGCCAGGCAGCGTGCACAGCAACTGAACTGGTGTGGACAGCTTGTCACCTCCAGGGGTCTTGGTGCCTCAATCAAAAGCATTCATGGCCTCATCGAGGGTCTAGACAGCCCCCAGCCCAGACCTTGCTGCTGAAATCCTTCGCCTTTCTACGCATGAATCACATGTGATTTCTGAGCTGTGGCCTGGGCTACGCTGCGTTCCTGCGAATGGGCAGTAGCAACTAGGCCTGTCATTCCCCACACCCTGCTGAGCACAAGAACGGTTAGCTTCTGACTGCCCCCAGGATCACAAATCTGCGGGAAAGCTTACCTTAGGTCTCGATTTGCCCGATTCTTGTTGTGTCATTGGGAGTCGGGCCTGCCTGATGTATAGTTGGACAGAGACTGCCTCTTTGCAAGATCCACTGCGCTACATTTCAATCCATGGTGTGTGTCACAGAAACACTTTAACAAGGGGGCTGGGATGTTTCTAATACCCCAATGCCCCTTCACAGGACATGTTTCTGGCAGGCAAGCACATACAATATGTCAGGTGCCCAGCCCACATTTCTCTCGATTCATCCCCAACCTAGTATCAATAATATGGGTAGGTCACCCATTAGGCTGCCTGTTCTTGCCCCTACTGGGGTCTTTTAAATCAATTGACAATTAAACTGCTGTTACTGCCCAAAACATTTGGCAATTGCAGGTGGGCCAGATTACAAACACAATTGCTTTTTTTTGTAGGTATTTTTCTAATCAACCTGTTTAGAGATGTTATGACACACCTCTGGACGTGAACACGGGCCTCCTGTCTCAGAGGGAGGAGCGACCATTGTGTCACACAGGAGGGGTTTAAAAAAAGGAGGCACATCAATGAGATGTTGTGGCATCGCTCTGAGATGTCACCTGAACCCCCACCCCCACCCCATTTCATTCCGCCATCTGCTCTCCAAAACCTGGCATCTACCATTTACCCCTCCCCAGCCTCTCTGATCTCTCCTCGTCGTAAAAGCAGAACTAAGCTTTCTCTGGTCACCATCGCTCTTTACATGTGCCTTCCTACAGTCCCAGCAGTGCCCACTACAATGTTCTGAGCTGCTGGCACCATCAATACTGCTGGTCAAACTGATTGACTGGAAGCTCTAGAGGATAGGATGTCTTTCACAGAGGGGCAGTAGGCCCACCCTTAGTCTTTTTAGCCTTCCCTGTTATCAGTGCTTGAAGGTTGTTTAAAAGCCCCTTAGGTTGGGACCAACTTGCCTTAGGTGGTGGGGGGGGGTGCGATTGCCAAGCTGTAGGTGGATCTACCCCGCTAAAGTACAGTCACGGTGCCATGTTGTGAGGCATCAGCAATTAACCTTTTGATCCCAAGCTTTGTTCATTTGTGATTTAATTACAGTAGTCATTCGGAATTATGAATAGAATGATGTGCTTACTGGACTGGATTGGAGACTTGAGATCTGAATTTGGTAAACTCGCCTGGAGCAGCCCACTCTGTTCCCAGCTGAAAGACAACGTTGGGAAGAATTAGTCACTTTACTGACTCGGTCCAGCTGTGAAGGTAAACGATGGGCTACAAATGATAAGTTTTAAAAAGAAGCTTTATGGTTTGGACAATCAAACAGCATTTGCCGGACAATCCCAAGTGCACCAAGAATTCCACTATCCACCAGTTTAAGACTAACAGCCAGGATTGCAATGTGGCTAAGTTCTGTTGTTACATATTTTCATATGCAATTTCCAGGAAAAAGGAATGTGTTCAGATATTGTGCCCTTTTTTCCTGAATGAAACAAAGCATGGGGGGGACAACAGTTCCTTGGTGCATTCCTCTAGCAGCACCTTGACCAATCAAATCAATTTGCAAACCAGTTATTACCGTTTTCTCACACAACATAAATTGCCGTTCCCTTGAAATTTGACATTCCCATGTCTCTCCCGATGAGTGCAAGAGAAAAAAAATTCGATAGCAGGTAATTTTACAGCAACATGCATGGTCAGCGTTCAATATGGACAGCTGATATTAACGATTTTAAGAATGATATGATAAGACTCATTAATACATTACCGCAGATATCTCCCGAGAGAAGTATAATTTGCTGAGTGTTTTAACAGAACCATTATCTGCATTACAGGACAGGACATTGACTGCAGTATGAAGGAATTTTGTTTTCATGCTCAGAATGTAGACATGCAAATCACACCCATCAATTAAATGACATCGGTCTGATCTCCCCAAATGACATTTCAATGCTGCAGTAATTAAAAGCTCCAAATAACTGTCAGACAAGATAAGCAAGACTCAACTAACATTCTGTACCTTGCCTAAGTGCATCAGTAGTCTGGCATTTGCAGGACTTTCATCAGAACTGAGCCAAAACTCGGAATTATCATCTGACGCAATTGCAAACTGGAAATCACCTGGAGAAATAGAAATGAAATCAATGAAGCCGGAAATGTACAGACATGATGATAATAATCTTAGGGCCTGTTGTCTCTGCCTTTAGGCAGGGACTATATGATAATCAAGGAGAAAGGAAAGCGAACTTTGTGGTACTGTTAACACACGCCAGCCTGCAGTCAACCTGTGTCAAAATAATGCCAAGGTTGAGGTTGTAGACGTGCTCACTGAGCCAATGTGTTTGATTGCAGATGTTTCGTGATCCTGCTAGGTAACAGCATTGGTGCACCTCCAGTGTATCCTTATTGTCAGTTTCCCTCCAGTTTGGTATATGTAATGTTTTTCATAGTCTTTGCATGGTATTTTGTATATTATGTAAGTTTTATTGTTGTGGGTATGAGATCCTTTATGTTCGTCAGTTGCTGTCGCAGGGTGGCTATTGGTTTGCTACTGACGAGCATAAAGGACCCCATACCTGCAACCAATAAAACTAATGCACAGGCTGTGAGAAACATTACACAGACCAAACTGAAAGAAAACTAACAATAAAGATACACAAACACCAACTAGCCACCAAGAGACACGATCAATTCTCACTGGTCTCAATACACACGGACAAAGAAGGGCACGAATTCGACTGGGACAACACATCGATAATCACACAAGCCAGGGAATTCCTGGAGGCTTGGCATTCCAACCAGAACTCCATCAACAAACGCATTGAACGCGACCTGATATACAAACCACTGGAAAACAGAACCGGAAGTTATACCAACCACCTCAGCAAACCGAGGCATATCAATAAGAAGCGACAAAGAATGCCAACACTTCACCGGAGGCACACTGACGATGTTACCGAGCAGGGTGACGAAACGTCTGCAACCAAACACACCGGCTCGGTGAGCAAGTCTACAACCTCATCCACAACCAGAGCTACAAATCTTCTCAAAAACTTTAAAGCCAAGATTCACGGTACATGGAAATCCAAAACTTGCTGTTTGAAAAGGAATTGAAAGTTGTGAAATTGCCACATTTATTTTGTACATGTGTACTAAACTCACCACGGAAAGATAAAAGTTTTCAGTCTATGCACGCTTTTACCGACATGATAATTATTAATGATTGCAAAATAACTCACTGGCATTAAAAATCAACAATTACAAACATGGAACCTCATTCCTTCAGGTTTTTAATTGTTGTTGGAGGTTTTAAGAATGTTAAAAAACTAAGTTTTCTTTCTTTTCTCTTTCATAATCAGATCTTTCTTTCCAATTCTTATTCTCTTTCCCTACCATATGTGCCATTGAATACATTGACTTTAACCTAAATTTTCCTTTCTATCCTTGCTGTGTTAATTTCATAATCCTTCAATCTGACTTGCTTCTCCTGTTCACTCTGGCCTCGTACACCTGGTTGCCTTTGCTGCACCATTATCAGCTCACACCTTCTCACTAAAGTTCCAACCAATTTTCTTTTATTGTGCACTGCCACATTGTGGAATACTTCAAAGTTTCCTTGTGCAGTAACTTCAAGGGGCCAAGGAAGACCAAAACTTCCATGTTGACCAAGACTTTAAAGCCTTCCTTGGCCGAGCAACATCAAGAAATGGACAAACTTGAACTGTCAGGAGGTAACTGGGGACAGTGACAGTGGACATCACTGGAAGAAAACTGTAAGAGAAATTTAATTGGATAGAAATTGGATAGAAATTTAAAGTGACTTGTATTTGTGCTGTGTGAGAACTTCTGTGCTGTTTAGAGGGAAGATTTCTTCTCATGCAAACAAAGATCCAGCTTAAAAACATAAAGGCAAATTTGCCTCATGCCAGAGAAAATTAGATACAATTTTGCGGTAAACTAAGAGCTAAACAGTAAATGTAGCCTTGCCAACATCACTCACATCCTCTGAATATATTCAAGTAAAGAAATATACCCTAAATCGCTATCCTTGACATATCCTGTAGCATGTCAGTAAACAGAGTACTTTTCAGTCTGCTTTCACAGACAGAGTGGATAATGTTCTTGGAGGCAGTTGAGATTGCAGCCGGCAGTATGCAAAAATTGTTCCAAGTTACAAACCCCAGGTTAAAACCAATTTATAGGAGGAAAATCGTAGACCCCACCAGCATGTTTAAAGACTGGGAGGTACTCTTAAAACACAGAGTGTGGCCACCCACTACCTACCCGCACACCACAAGTGTCTCCCATTTCATGGGCATGGTAGAGGCTTTAGGTGACCTGCCTGCTCTATTGGGGCTTTTGATAAAGAGCCTCATCTCTCACCCCAAACACGTCTCAGTTTACCAATGCCCAAGCTAGGTAGGCAGCCAGGCAGCTTTTGCTGGGCGAGCTGGTGTCAGGCAGGACGGTGTGGACAGCAATGCCTTTGGAGGTCATCTGTGACCATCAGAGGCATCCAACCCACAATACCATATCTTCCCTTTACCTCTCCCCATCCTGGTCTCCAAACCCATCGCCTGCTTCCACCATTCCTGTTTCATTCACTCAGGCCTGTTAGCTAAGCCCCATTGATATCCCAAACATAGAAAAGAAGGGCATTTAGGCCTTTGAGCCTGCTCTGCCATTCAATATGATCATGCCTGATCATCCAACTCAGTCTCCTGTTCCTGCATTCTCCCGCTTTAATCCCTTTAGCCTCAAGAACTGTATCTAACTCCTTCTTGAAAATTTCCAATATTTTTGCCTCAACTGTTTGTTGTGGCACAGGCTCACAACTCTCCTCACTTCAGTTCTTAGACTGTGGCTGCCTGGTTCTGGACTCCCTGGTCAGTGGGAACATCCTTCCAGAGTTTACCTTGCCTAGTCCTGTTAGAATTTTATAGGTTTCCACAAGGTCCACTTTCATTTTTCTACCTTCCAGTGAATATAATCCCAAACTATCCAGTCTCTCTTCAACACATCGTTGACAAAGCTGTCAGACAGGTTTGATGACCTGGACAACCTTGCCTCATCTAGATCTCTCAAGCCACGAAAAATTCACCAAATATTGCGTTGACCTCAGAAGCTCTTGAGATTCCAGCATTATCCTGATGGCTTCACAAGGCACCAGATTCAAAGCATCACAAAAACAAATGATAACAACGTGACTGGATTTCGAGTCTTGGGATGCAATTTTGTAAAAGGTCACGGCTAATTTTTACAAACTCACAAAAGCAAAACCCAATCTATTCTGATTTTTCTATCTGTCCCTCAAAGATCCAATATGTGGCCAGCAACATTCCAATACAGCATCTTAATTACCCACTATCAAACATGTTTATAAAATAGTGGACTAATTCTTTCCTGATTGTTTGAATAGATTTCTAAAGCAAGAGTAATATAGCTTGAGCGTTCACTTCAATTATTCTGACTGCAAAATGTTCATGATATCACACTTCATACAGATCTACTGTCATGACTGGAACCATCTCTGCAGGGAACTTTCAGGATTATCCATATAGTTGGCCAGATCAGAAAGCAAAGCTCCTACTGAATCAAATGTTGACGCTCTTTTTATGCAATTTTTTGCTCCCTGCTGGATACATCACAGTTCTGTAGGTTGTGCATCTCCGTCCCCTGCCAACAAAATTGTCAGATGGTGATGAGCTCTACTCACACCATACTGTAGCTTCTCTATCATCGCTTTTCCCAAGTCATGGCTTGATCCTGTAAAACCTTTGATGTATGCTGTGCAGTGACACTGCCACCTTACACTGCTGTCATCTCTTCACTTCCATTTGCCTCTCCTGTGGGTCTGAATCATCTTCATTCTGACAACCAAAACCCCCTTTGGTCTGCATTATCTACCTAACTTCTTTATTTCATGCTCTATATGTGCCTATCCTTATGGTATGCTTTGTTCCACTCTGAAATCCATTTGCCTCCTATGTTTTCATTATTTTTGAGGAAAACGGACAGGATTTACAAGAATCAATTCTGATTACTGGGCAATGTGGCAGCTGGGGTGGGGGCAGGAGGTGTTGGGTCTCAGGGCAGAGGGGGTTGAGGGGGAGGCTGCATGTGTGTGTTGTGGGAGGGGCTAGTATTGGGTCCAGAATAAAGGTGTTAAGCCCCAGGGGCGGAGGTATGTTGGATCCCAGGTCAGGGGGTCAGTTCTGGTTCCTGGATTGGTTGGGAGCTTGGGGCAAGTCTTAGGGTATCAGGACAGAGTCAGGGGCATGTATATTGTCTGGTAGTAGCGTCATTTTTGTGGAGTCTTTCAGAGTTTCTGGGCATCGAGGAATTGCCCAAAGTGTGCTATTATGGGATTTCCACAGGGTGTCCATGTACAACTCCTGTCAATGCTGGAATAATGACTGTCTGGTAGTAGAAAATCTGCCCTAACATGTGTAGATAACATACTGAACTGGCACAAATCTTGAAACCACACAACTCAAGAGCTAGACATAGCAGCGATAGAGTTGATGATGTGATGTTAAGCAATGTGATATCGGTGCTGTGATACAGACAGGACAAGGTTGTGCCATGAGATACACACAATGTGTATTAGGCAAAGTGATGTTGATCACTGTGATACAGGCAGGGTGAGTTGGTGCAGTGTTACAGGCAGGCTGTTATGGAAAAGGCTAGATACCTCAAAAGTATATTATGGAGATAGCCCAGACTCAGTTTTTTTTAAGAAGGAAAGTGAAGGTGCTGAGTTCCAGACATGATTCAACTGGTCCCCCACTAAGCTTTAATCAAAACACACTTTATTCTTACAGCACACTTAAAATGCAACAAAAAGAAGAACTGGCATAACTTTACTCTATTGAAAAACTTTATAAGACAATGTATTGTTTAACCACTAATCATCAACAGCTTCAATATAGATAGCATCCCATCAACACTCCCTTGGTAAAAGCAAAACAGATATTATTGCCACCTGCTGTCTCTCTCCAGTCCAGTAGAAAGAAACAATCTGCCCCTTTTGATTTTTGAAAGGTAGCATCTGTAAGACTTTACTCTAGCAGCAGAGAACTCAAGCTTTCAGCTCTAGCAGCAAGCAAAAACCACCAATG